GACTTGATTTCAGTCTTTCCTTCCCGACAGTTCGTCGCAAAGGTCAAGAAGACTCACGTTTGCCGGGTGTGCTAGTCGCTCCGCGGGCGGCGAGTGGCCGTTGTGCGGCAAGGCCTGGGGCAGGGCCTGGGGCAGGGCCTGCAGGGCCTCGAGGCGCGGCTGCACGCCGGCCAGGCGCCGCTCCAGGCTGGCGCGCTCGGCGGCCACCAGCTCGGCGGCCTGCGCCTCGGCTGCGGCCACGGCGCGCTGGATCTCCAGCACCGCCTGCCTACGCACTTCGTTCACGGTCTCCTCTGCAAGCGAAACGGGAGGGGTCAGGCTCATGTCCACGTCCACCAGGGCGTGGGGCGGACCCGCTACTGACCTGCGCGGCGCTTGAGCTCCGCGATGCGCTCCTCAGTGTCCTGTAGGGTCCGAGCCAGGATGTCGTCGACCGCCGCCTTGACCTGCCGCGACACACTGGCCGCCGCGGCCGCCGCGCCGAGGCCGCCGGCGACGCCGTTCTCCTGCGCCACGCTCTCCGCCGTGGTCGTGCTCCGCTGCTGTAGGATGGCGAGGGCGTGCTTCGTCTTCTCAACCATGCTCAGGACGCAGTTCAGCATCTGCGGGTGGGGAAGGAGAGAAGAGCCGTGGTCAGCAGCAAGCCCAACAGAGCACAACCGACGTCACTGCTTGTGGCCACAACAACGAGGCCACAAATCCGGCGGACAGAGTGAGCTTAGTGCGACCCGACTATATAGCATCCTTTTTCGGGCAATTTGTGAGAACTGTGTAGCTGTGGAGGGGAAAGCCGGGCGGCAGTTGTGGCTGTGGGCGCCGGGCGGTAGGCAATCACGCGAGATGTCTCTGTGGGTTGAACGTCCCTGTTTGAAGCTACACGATTGTAGCTACAGCCGACAGTGCCCGAGTCAGCTTAAACTGAACCGTCTGTAGACGAACTCATTACTTCCGCCAATGCTAGAATATCAACCAGAAGTAAACTGCGCTAAGAACTAAAGCGAAAACGAAAGATATCAATGCCTCTCCGAAGCTCGAGCCTTGTCCAAGCGCTCGGAGGGACAGGAGGCCGCGGGGGCCCGATTCAGGAAAGCATTGCCTACCCTCCAGGCGTTTTCAGCGACAATCATCGACCCACGCCTCGATTGACACAGCGTCACTTCTTAGCTTTAGAAAGGATTGATGAGCCTGGAGTCGAAAGGAGCCTAAACCCAAAGTACTTGTCATGACAGACGCCTTAGATAGAAGCCGTGGCCTACCTCGCAGGCGACCAAGCGACAACTCACGTCGCGGCGACAAGTGGTAGTAGACACGTCCCTGTTTATGGACACAAAAATGTGGTCACAAATGGGGCAACATACGATGTCCGACGCCACTAGCCACACGCCCCTTTTGTAGTTAAACAGTTGTAGCTACAGACAGTCGACATGACCGCATGCAGCTTCATCCGAACCAAAATTGTCGGCCCTAAGATCAACTCCCGGGCAGGGCAAATTTTTTCTTTGTCGCTTTTTGCCTCCCGTTAGGCATGACCGAGCTTAGACCTCGGCCCCGTAGGAGCGAGCTGCTAGCCAAGCGTGTTAAAGCGTGATCGTTGGCAGATCGTGCGGGTGGTCATTTTTCCCTGCTCTGCTGGCCAAGTGTCTTCGGGCGCGTCGGTCACAGCTTAGATGAAGATGCCGCTGAAAGTAGTGCTCTGTTTCGATCCGTCGTGGCCAAGTCGGTAGCGTCCGGGCCCGGTATGGAACTGGTCACTGTTTCGAATCTCGTCCGGTTGATAATTTTCGCGTTCCGCCGGCCATGACTTTACAGCCGTGCGACACCTGATGTGATGGTCCGTTACGCAAACAGTCGCTGGTTCGAATCTAGTCGACGGAACCCTTTTCCCTCT